GCAAACAAACCCAGTAACTCTCTGTGCTCAGGGTGCCCTCTGCTGAGGCCAGGCTGCAAGAGGGGTGGGGAGTGTGAGCACTGCCTGGAACATGAGGCAGAGTCCAGCAGGGAAGACTTATGGGGCTGCAGGAGGGGCAGGCTGTGGAAACAGGCCTGTGCACACAGCCCATGGCAGGTGCGGGGGAGAGAGGTGGGGGGCTGGGACCAGGCCTTGCATGTGGCGCTGTGTCCTGAGGTTAGAGAATGCAGGGTCCAGGGCAGAGGGAGGGGCCGAGAATTGGGCAGGGATTCCCTGGCAGTGATGGGGACGGGTAAAGAGGTGGAGGGTTGAAGGGTAGGCGGGAGGGGATGGGTGGTAGGCCTGGGTGCACCTGAGAGGTTGTGTTGGGGATCCTGCTGCGGAGGGCCCTGTTCAGGGCAGTGACTTGGTTTCCAGGGTTGGAGAGAGGAAGAGCTGGCTGGAAGGGGACAGGACTCAGCACAGAGCTGGCATCTTGGCATAGGGAGGGGCATGTGAGGTGGGAGGGCATGATGAGGGGTGTGTGTGGGGGGTGGGCTGGTGAGGTGTGGGCAAGGTCTCAGTGCTGAGGCTTTGGTTGAGCTGTGGCTTGTGCTTTTATTTCCTTTTGGCAGATTTATTACACGTCCTGATGTCAAGCACAGCAAGATGGCTGGGTTCCTGGACTGGAGCCTGTGCAACCTGGCCCGTTCCTCCTTCCAGAACGTCGAGGGGGTCATCACCATGGATGGGATGCTGCAGGCCCTGGTGAGCACTGCCCACAGGAGCCATGGAGATAGCAGGGACATGGCGCCTTACCTGGGACCACGGAGTGCTGTTGCCTGTGATTCTGTCTTGTGAGGAGTTTCGTCTTCCCACTGCTTTGGTCCCTGCCTTAGGGTCTGGGCTGGGCCGGGCTGGGCTGGCTTAAGTGCTGGTGAATGGGCCTGGAGCCGCCTGTTGCCAGCAGAGGGCAGTGGTGCCGCGCGGCCGGGCCTCTCGGGGCAGGTTTCTCCGCATCCGCGCTCCTGCTTAGCTCCTGTGTAAGGTACAGAGATTGAACGAGCTCTAATAAAACAAGGCGGGTGAGTTGAAGCTTGATTCTGTTCCTTTGCGTTGGGCTCGGGTTGGATGGTCCTGACATCTTCGTTTGGACACAGACCCTGGCACTTGCCTGGAGGTGCCCTGGCTGTAGTCCTTTGCTGGCCCTTCCCTTGCCCTTTTGCTCTGGCTATCCCTTGTGTTACCTTTCCTCATGCTAACGAGGAGGAAAGAGGAAGTCTCAGAAGAGGACGAAGCCTCTTTTGGGTCAGCCTTCTGGAGGGCGAGCTGGCAGCCCTCTGTGGCCCTTGGCGCGGTGGGTTCAGCGCCTTCCTCTGCTTGCTCTTAAATTACAGTGGTGAGGCTTTGAGAGAACTTCTCACCCTCGTCTCAAGCTGTGGAGCAGGGCACTTTGTGCTTCTTGTTTAAAATACATTTTTTATAGAGACAGGGTCTTGCTTTGTAGGCCAGGGCGGTCTTGAACTCCTAGCCTCAAGCGAGCCTTCTGCCTTGGCCTCCCAAAGTGCTGGGATGACGAGCGTGAGCCGCTGTGCCTGGAAGGACACTTTGGAGTACATTTTAGGGGAGATGGTGGGTGCCACCTCACCGCGGTGTCTTGCTGTCCGAGGCAGGTTCTGCCAGGGAGCGGGAGGCTGTCAGCTGAGTGAACGGGGGCTGTGGGTGTGAGAGCCTGGGGTGGAGGCGCACTTTTCTTGAGGGGTGTCAGGAAGCATCCTCAGTGCCTGTTCCTTCCCTGTCATGCCGCCGTGGTCTTCAGAAGGACTTTCCTCCAGATGAGGAGAATGTTTCAGACGTGTAAGAACACTGCAGAAGTGCTTCCTGGAGCCTATGCTCTGCCCAGGTGATGTCTGTTTTCCTCAGGCCTCCCCTCAACTTCCACATAAATGTGACAGATTTAGCAGTTTTCAAAACTCAAGAAATAATTCACTCTTCTAAGGTATACAGTTCTGTAGTTTTTAGCACATTCACAGGGCTGTGCGGCCATCACCATTATCTGACTTCAGGACACTGTCATTACCCTGGAAGAAACCTTGACCCCACTAAGCAGTCCCTCTGTCAGCCCTCCCCACCCCTGCAACCGTGGGTTCACGTTCTGTCCGTGTGGACTGGCTGGTGGTGGATATCTTGCTTCACTAGAGTCGTATGCTACGTGGCCTTTTGCGTCTGGCCTTTGCTGAGCCTGGTGTGTCCACGGTTCATCCACGCTGCAGTGTTGTTAGTGCATCATTCCTGTTATGCCTCAATCGTGTTCCAGTGTCTGGGTATTTTTTGCTGTTGTGAGTGATGATGTTAAGAACTTTCATGTGCAAGTTTTTGTTTAAACTCAATGCTTTCCGGCTGGGCGTGATGGCTGACCCAGCACTTTGGGAAGTGGAGGCGGGTGGATCACCTGAGGTCGGTAGTTTGAGAGACCAGCCTGGCCCACATGGTGAAACCCCATCTCTACTAAAAATACAAAGATTAGCTGGGCATGGTGGTGGGTGCCTATAGTCCCAGGTACTTGGGAGACTGAGGCAGGAGAATTGCTTGAACCTGGGAGGTGGAGGTTGCAGTGAGCGGAGGCTGCAGTGAGCTGAGCATCATGCCACTGCGCTCTACCCTGGGTGACAGAGCAAGACTGCCACAAAAAACAAAAAATAAAAAAAACCAACCTAATGCTTTCAGTACCCTTGGGTACATGACACTAGTTTTTAATAAAATTTTAAACAAAATTTGGAATGTTTTTGTGTTTCCGAAGTCTTTTAAAAAGATTTTTCTGGCGGCATACCTGTCGTGTTGGTGAAATAGAGGACCTGCTCGTGCCAGGCGTTTTTGGGCACTGCAAGTACACGTGTGCAGTCTGTGTCCCCAGGTACCCCTTGCTCTGGGCAGTCCTTAAAGAGGATTCATTGCTATCGTGGAGGTCGGTGCAGGCTGAGGCTGGCCTTGAAGGGCATGGGGTCTGGGGGCGCAGGGCAGGGAGGATGAAGGTCTCAGGTGTGCCCACTGTGCTGTTGGTCCATGGATCCTCAGGAGATGTTGTGCGTTTATGTTTTAGGCAAGTCTGGTTAAAGAGTGGTTGATAAACGTGGTTAATTTGAAAGTTTGGGTGTAATTGGATTTTTCATTTTTTGCCTTGAGTCTCATTGAGGAAACGTGAAGAAGGGGAAGATAGTGGCAGCCAGGGTGGGGTGGGGGTCCTGGGATCCTGGTGGCTTCGCCTTCTTCATGTTTGTGGTGCTGGCTGCATGGACAGCCTCCCACATGACAAATGACATGCTCTCAAGGCCGTGTCTAAGACCCCAGAAGAACGGGCTGCCACTGTCAAGAAGTATGACGTGTGTGGAAGACCATGAGCCTTACCTGGCCGGTGGTATGGCATATGGCAACTGCCCAAGCTCCCTGACCCATCACGGTGGGAGGGAGTCTATCCTGTGACCGGGTCCACTGGACCCGACCCATTGCAGTGGGAGGGGCTCCATGTTGTGACCACTGGACTGGACCCATCACAGGGGGCGGGGCTCCAAGCTGTGACTGGGACCACTGGACCTGACCTCATTGCAGTGGGAGGGGCTCCAAGCTGTGACTGGGACCACTGGACCTGACCTCATCACAGCGGGAGGGGCTCCATGTTGTGACTGGACCAGTGGACCTGACCTCATCGCAGTGGGAGGGGCTCCATGCTGTGACTGGACCAGTGGACCTGACCTCATCACAGCGGGAGGGCCTCCATGCTGTGACGGGACCAGTGGACCTGACCTCATCACAGCAGGAGCTGCTCCATGCTGTGACTGGACCAGTGGACCTAACCCCATCACAGCGGGAGGGGCTCCATGTTGTGACTGGACCAGTGGACCTGACCTCATTGCAGTGGGAGGGGCTCCATGCTGTGACCACTGGACCCCACCCATCTCAGTCGAGGGGCTCCATGCTGTGACTGGGCCACCCAGCCTGAGGTTGGACTGGGGTGAACTGATACACTGGCAGCTATCTGTGTGTCAGGAATCATGTGGATACGTCTCCCACACCTGTTTCCTGGAATATTGTGTAAGCATCTCTTCACCCTCACAGCCTTCATGATCATGTTCTGGGTGGTGAATAATTACCCAGCAGACCAGCCCATGGGGCCAAAGCAGTGTCCTTAAAATAACTGGCACCCGGAACCAGGTGGCGACCCTCTCAGAGAACCTGTGGCTCACAAGATCTGAGGAGCCTTCCTGGGCTTCTCTGCCCCCTAACTAGGGCTTCCTCATCCCTAGAAATTTAACCTTCATGAAATCCGCAGTAAAACTCAGTGCTGTGGGTGGGAAGTGTCAGGTCAGGAGAACATGGGAGGTCTCACAGGATGTAACAGAGCTTGTTGGTCTCCAGTGGCTCTGCAGGGTAGGCTGTTAGCCCTGCCCTGAGTGTGGGTGCTGCTTTGGGAGGGTAGGCACATTTGATCTCAGTCCAGTTAGTGTCTGAGACCACCTTTGCTCAGTCATGAATTTGCACTCTTGGCAGGCTTCTAGGGGTCTCCTGCGGCTCTCGGCAGCCCAGCCTGGGAGGCTCCCCTCCCCTGCCCCCCCCCACACTGTCGGGTCAGCAGGACTCCCCAGCCTTGGGGCTGGAGCCAGTTGTGGCTGTCCAGAGACTTGTAGGTGAGGTACGCCGGCTCCTGGCCAAGCTGGCTGTGGAGAGGCAGCCTCCTGGCAAGAGGCGTGGTCCGCTGCGTTCAGGCTGCCTTGGAGGGCTCCACGGTACATCCTGGAGGTGCCCCCTAGGCGCCGGCCTCTGAGCCTTCCTCAGCTTGGGAAGGTCGTGGCAGCCACATTTGTCTAGTTCTGCAGCGTCTTTGCCTGCGGGTTCACTTCTTTACTTTGATGATCTTGTTGCTTTTCTCTAGATTGTTCCTAAGTTTTCTGTTCCTCCATCCCAAGCGGGAGGCATACGGTGCCCAGTCTGCATTTGGAATATCCGGAGGGTGGGTGGGCCGGCTCACTGTCCCCTCCCTGGCCAGCTGCTGGAACAGGTGGGAATTCCTGCAGCAAAATCAAACCAGCCAGGAGTGGGGAAGTGCCGTTCATTTTGACATCAAGTTCCACATTGAGGTGGAGAGAAGTTCTTTTTTCCCCTTTCTCCTGAGGTGTAAAAAGGTTTTCTCCAAGGCTTATGAGAGCTGAGCCTTGTGCCACCCCCCTGGCATGTGCTGGCAAAGGGTGAGGTGTGCTGTCCCTGCTGTTTGGAGCAGAGCACCCAGGCAGATTGGCAACAGCACCTCAGAACTATTCAGAGGAGAGTTGCCTGCAGCGAGAGTGAGCAATTGTCTGACTCAGCCGGCTGAAATCCCTGGGAAGGGAATGAATGAAACTGCTGTGAAGCAACGCCTGGCAGGGCCGGGCTTCTGGCAGCTCCCGGGGCCAGCATGCCCCTTCCAGAGCCTTCTGAAGCCCTGGGCTGCTGCCGGAGCAGCTCGAGTCTTTCCAGAGCCATGCCTGTGGTTTCCCTTTCTCTTTTTGAAGGGTCCATGTGGCCTGATGAGGGTTGCCTCAGCAGGTGGAAGTGTTGGGTGCTGAGCGGGCGGGAGGTTTCGCCATGGGCCTGGCAGAGCTGCAGGCAGAGGCTGGGTGCCTGCTGTGCGTGATGAAACTTGCAGGTGGATTCTGCTTAGGGTTTCATCTGTTTCCTTTGATGCACTTGGCCTCATTGTTATCCACCTGTTCATTAGCGTGGGCGACACAGGTGAACTCCCCACAGGTGCCATCGAAACCAGGGCTCGGTTTCCATTTTCCTTGAAGCGCAGCTCTCTGGCCGTGAGCGTTTTTAGCTGCTGTGGAAGGAAGGCAAGTGTTCGGCAACGTCATTTCCCTGGGAGGCCCTGTGCTCCGGCTTTAAAAGCACCCTCTGCTTTAGTCCCACTTCAAACATTAAGGTCAATGCAAATTGAGGAACTTCAAGGAAGGAAAAAAACACATGAAAAATGGAAAACGGGCCAGTCACGGTGGCTCATGACTGTCATCCCAGCACTTTGGAAGGCCGAGGCAGGCGGATCACTTGAGGCCAGGAGTTTGATGCCAGCCTGGCCAACGTGGTGAAACCCTGTGTCTACTGAAAATACAAATGTTAGCCAGGTGTGGTGGCACATGCCTATAATCCCAGCTACTCGGGAGGCTGAGGCAGGAGAGTTGCCTGAACCCGGGAGGCGGAGGTTGGGTGAGCCGAGATTGTGCCATTGCACTCCAGCCTGGGCGACAGAGCGAGTCTCCATCTCAGTTTAAAAAAAAAAATTAAAAAAGGGAAAATGGCTGTCATTTGCATGTGTTACATGCTGCTTGTGTGTTGGTAGTTGCACTGTCTTGGTTTCTAGAGTTCTGACTGGAAGACTCGACTATGCTGTGGGTTCCTCCCCGTGTGTCCTCGCAATGGCTGGGAGACGGGGTTGCTGACAGTGGAAGTGGGGATAGGATAACAGGGTGCTCTTCCCCTTATTGGCTGTGAGGCTCAAGTTTCCCCTTCACAGTGTGGCTTTTTATTTTTATCATTGACAAAAGCACAACTCTTGTTAAGGATAAAATAGTCACAAACAGCAGCATTAAAAACCAAAGAACGCTGGCACCGTCAGCCTCACCCCCAGCTCCTGCTGCATACTTGTGAAGAGAGGTGTGGAAGCCGCTCTGCGTTTTTATAGTTAATAAAAGCAGTCAGGTCCCCAAGTAGGAGAAGTTGTGGCCGGATTGCGTGGGCCAGGAACCAGGGCTTGAGCTGCTGTGAACTCTGCTCAGGCCCTTTGCTGACTCCGTCTCTCCTGTGACCTGAGGCGAGGGTGACACTGGCGCCTGGCCCCACCCGGGAGGGAAGCAGCAGACCTCTCACCCCAGAGGCTGGTGTGAGGCTAATTAGCTCAGTCACACGCTTTGAAGATGAAGGAAGACAGTTGATTATCTATAACATTTCTCATTTGGCCTTGATTTCTTTTCAGATTTGGGGAACAGTGCCCCACCGTTCCATTTAGGGCTCAGTGTGGCCAGAGGAAGGTCATCCATGTGGCCTTTTTAGTTGTAGAGCTCTCTTGGGGCAAGGTTTGGGATGGAGAAAATATGGCAAGAGCAGTTTGAATGTGGGTACTTTCCAGAGCTCATGCTTCCATAGCATTCTGGGGAAACGAGGTGCCGCAAGTCACGCTGGTTCAGTTTCCTAGTGGCGTTGAGTAAAAGACCTGGACCGCCAGCTCTGACGGTAATTTCCCGTCACTCAGCCTTTACGTGGGGCGGGCACAGTGGTGTGAGTCTTAGAGAAGCCTGTGTCGTGAGCTGCATGCCTTCGAGTTCCTGGCAGCCCTGGCCTGTCCCTGCTGAAGTGGCACGTCCTGCTCGCAGGCGTGTGCTCACAGGCAGCCCGGCGCAGGGTCATGTGCTAAACGGGGAGGAGGCTTGGTGGGTCACCAGCCTCGCCTACCTCAGCTCTTGGATGAGGCACAGACAGGCAGAGAGCTGGACGGTGTGCCAGGCTGGCCTGGTGCTGAGTGGGCTAGAGCTGGGTTGTGGTGGCCCTCGTCCTGGTCATCCTGGCCTGTGGCCTCCGTGCAGGATGGGGTGCCCCTGCCCCCTCACCCGCCCCCCCCCACCCGGCTCCCTGGCCTGCGATGCCCGATTGCCCACATTTCGCCTTGACCTTCCCTCTAAGGCTGATGTCCCTCAGGCTTTGGCCCTGGCTCTTCATATCTCAGCTCTGATTCACCCTTTACCTTCATTTCGTGATTTCTGTCCTTGGTTCCTGAGCCCTCGTTCTGTGCACCTGTTGGATACACGTGTGACGCTTCAGAACCCTCAAGTCCCAGGTCGTACCTGTTGTGCTATCACTTTCCTTCCCGGCCTGTGTACTCGGGAGCCCAGCAGCAAACAGGGACTTCTGTGCTGCTGGCCATGCATGCGACCAGGAGCTGGGCTCTTGCCGAGGCCCGTCTTCCCTCCTGCTGTCCGTTCACGCCCGCCTTGTGGATGTGGCTCTAGCGTGTCTCCTGTCCTAGGGGTCCTCGTCCCAGCGCGGTGGCTCTCTGCTCGCACGTGGCTCCCTGCTTCACGTCATCCTGAGTCTGCCCCTCTCCCTCTGGAGGCTCTGGTCCCCGACCACCCTCCTGCCTCTGCTGTTGCTGCTGGCTGCAGTAAAGGTGGTGGTGGAGGGTGTGAGGCTTCCATTCGTGGAGTGCCAGGCACTGTCCCGTGCTGCCTCTGTGCTGTTGATCCTGGCTGCACACCTGCTGTTCTGTGGCCTGAGTAGAGGGTGGCTTCATCTTGGCCTCCTCTTGGCTTTCCCTGTGTGTCCTGGTGTCTTTGCTCGGCTCGCTGGCCTTTCTCAGCCTTGGATGCCTCTGCCCTCACGCTTGCTTTTGCCCTGGCAGAGCTGCTCATGTGGCCGGCCCTTGGACCCCTGTGCAGCCTGCCTTTCCCAGAGTGTATCAGCAGTCCTGTCTGGGGTCATGGCCTAGGCCCCACCTCATCCTGGTCTTTGCCTGCTCTTCCTTCCTTGCCTCTGTGTGTTGTCTTCTCTCACTTCCACACGGGGCACAGTCACATCAACTGGCGGCCTCGTTAGTGGATCCTCCCTCCTGTTGGGCTCAGAGCTGCGCCACTCCCACCTGCGCTGCAGAGAAGCTCAGACCCTTCTCTGACCTCAGACGCCGGAATCTGAGACCCCTGCCTCCCAGGCTGATGTCCCTTCAGGTCCCTGCGAAGCCGCTGCTCTGCGAGGTCTCCCCCGCCGCTGTCATGCCCTCCCGTGGCCTCTGAGCCCATGGGCTGCTCGGTGGCTTGGGAGCTACATACGATTTTATTTGTCTGGTTTGGCTTAGGGCTTCTGTGGCAGGAATTGTCTCTTGCATCTTTTATGCGTCAGTACGTTGGGCAAATAGGAGAGGCATGATGGATGTTTTTTGGTTGATTGAGAAATGGTTAATTTTATGTGAAAGTGAAAGTAAGTGATAATAACAGTTATGTTTGGGAGGGACTAGACTTCTAAAATTGGGTCTGTCTGTAAGGCTGATCTTCCCTTTCGCTTTTCTTCGTTTTTCCTATTCTTAGGTTTTCTTTTGATGTTGTGGAGATTGCTGCGTATGACTGCATTTTTGCTGCTGTGAGAAATTGATTCCCTTTTTTTCTTTTTGAGATGGAGTCTCACTCTGTCGCCCGGGCTGGAGTGCAGTGACACCATCTTGGCTCACTGCAACCTCCGCCTCCTGGGTACAGGTGATATTCGTGCCTCAGCCTCCTGAGCAGCTGGGACTACAGGTATGTGCCATCACGCCTGGCTAACTTTTATATTTTTAGTAGAGATGGGGTTTTACCGTGTTGGCCAGGCTGGTCTCAAACTCCTGACCTCAGGTGATCCACCTACCTTGGGTTCCCAAAGTGCTGGGATTACAGTTGTGAGCTGTCAGGCCAGGCCCTAGAAATGGATTCTAATCCTTTTAGATCTTGTAGGTTTCCTGTGTTTGAAATTCTTATATTAACGGGGATGATGATTATTATTATTTTTGAGACAGAGTCTTGCTCTGTCACTCAGGCTTGGAGTACAGTGGCGCAATCTTAGTTCCCTGCAACCTCTCCCTCTGAGGTTCAAGCGATTCTACTGCCTCAGCCTCCTGAGTAGCTGGGATCACAGGTGCCCACTACCACGCCTGGCTTATTTTTTGTGTTTTTAGTAGAGATGGGGTTTTGCCATGTTGGTCAGGCTGGTCTCAAATTCCTGACCGAAGTGACCTGCCCGCCTCGGCCTCCCAGAGTTCTGGGATTACAGATGTGAGCCACTGTGCCCGGCCAGGGATGATTGACAACCCTTTTCTAGCATCTTACCTGTTTGTGGTGGCTCACAGTGAGCAAAGGGCTTTCCTGAGCTTTTGTTCAACCTTGGGAGGTGTGTGGGCTCCTAACTCCTCTCCTCCTTGGGAGCTCTGTTGCCTCTGGGCAAGGGGCACAGCAGAGGTGGTCGCACACATCTGAATGTGAGTAGTCAGTGGTCCCTGTCCTGCAAAGCCGGGCTGCTCAGAATGAGCTTGGAGCAGCAGCCAGAAGGCTCAGTGATGGGGAGTTGTTTAAGCTGGAATATGGTAATGCTGCTGGCTGTTGATACTGTGAGGTCACTTCGTGGGTGCTGGGAACATTTTAAAAGGCTGAGTCAGTCACAAAATAGTCATGTGTGCCGTAACGGGGGATGGTCCTGAGAAACACGTCGTTGGGTAGTGCTGTCCTGTGAACATCGTAGTCGGCATGTAGGTGTATGTGGGGTCGCCTGCTGCACGCTCAGGCTCTTTGGTGTGGCCTGTCGCTCCCAGGCTGCACGCCTGTGCCGCACCACTGTAGACGCAGTACTGCAGAGAACTGTGACACAGTGGTGGTGGTGCATGTGAGCATAGGTGAGGTGCAGTAGAAACGTGTCATCCTACGGGCCCACCGTCAGTCTGTCATTCACACTGACCCCTGTGTTCTACGATGCAGCACTGGGTGCGATGCACCGTCACGAGCAGGTTGACACGTGAGGTGAAGGATGATTCCCGTGAGGGATAGCGGTAGGAGGCCACGTCCTCTTGTGGTTTCTGAACTCTCTCTGAGTGCTGTGTTGCTTGGTTTGTGGATGAGGACATGGACCCAGGTCAGGGTTGCTAGGCTGTGAAGCTGGATCTTGCGTGGCCCCCGCCTGTGAAGGAGGGTGGTGTTTACCTCACGCGTCCCCCGAAGAGGGGGACGGCGGAGTGAGCGCACGGGGTCGGCGGCGATGTCGGTTACCCACCTGACCTGTCTTGTAACACGGACCAAGGAGTGAAATTACCTTTTTTTTTTATTTTTTTTTTTGGTGGCAGTGGCACAATCTCAGCTCACTGCAGCCTCCACCTCCCGGGCTCAAATCATTCTCCTACCTTACTTAGCCTCCTGAGTAGCTGGGATTACAGGGGCACGCCTCCACACCTGGCTAATTTTTGTATTTTTAGTAGAGATGAGGTCTTTGCATGTTGTCCAGGCTGGTTTCGAGCTCTTGGGCTCAAGCACCCTTCCTACCTCGGCCTCCTAAAGTGCTGGGATTATAGGCATGAGCCACCACACCCAGCCTGAAATTAATTTTTTGTTTACTTAAAATTTTGTATACTTCGTCAGAAGCTTATTTTGTCAAAAACAGTATATTTTTTCACTCGGGTTCTGATTCTAATCAGTCACTTACTAATTCAACAAATAAAATTTTCAGTTCTGTAAATTCCTTTTTTCCTCCGAATGTAGGGTGGTCCTGAGGAGGGTGCGTGCGTGCTCATTCCTGGGGGAGGCAGTGCGTGTGGTCTGGCCCCGCCTGGTCCAGCTGGGCCCCCACCTTCAGGACAAGCTCTCTTCTGAGTGCCCTCCCGCACCATGGCAACTTCCGTTCTTTCTTGGGGTGGTAGTGGGCCCTTTAAGATGTCCCTGGCTTTTGTTTTTGCAGGCCAGCACATGCACTGGAAGTTGTGATTTTTCTGGGCTCCAGTAGTGGTGTGGTGGGAAGGCTGTTCCTGCCCTGCTGCTCACAGGGTTCCTCTGTGAAGCCCCTGCACACTCCCACGCTGCAGCCCAGTGTGGGCGTCACTGCCTTCCAGGGAAGGCCTGGCCCTGGCAGGCTCGCGGCAGCACAGGAGGGACCTGGGGCTGTGCTCTCAAGGGACTCCAGCCTGGAATGGGTTGTTTGGTGTTAAAGATGCTCTTCTGTGCCTGTCCTGTGGCACCTCTGTGTGGCGTGCCCTAGAGTGGCTTTGAACATGGCTGCCCTCTGTGTGCTGAGCCTGAACCCTCCAAGATGCCATGTCTTGGTGTGGGAGCAGGACTCAGGATGGCAGAAAGGGGAAGAGTCTCCCTCTACCCATCTGCGGAGTTGACATGGCTAGTTACGTGGGGCCCCGGGGTGACCCGCTGGTACGCAGCTGGCGTGGTCTCAGCTGTCTGCCTCAGTGCTGTCCGGAACTCACAGCTTCTCAGAAGCCTGTGTCACCAGCAAGAGCCGAACCTGAACTGGTGTGGCGTGGGGGCCCTTCTCCCAGGGCCTGGGGTGGAGTTGCTTTTCTTGGCCTAGATTTGGCAGTGCCTCCAGGGAGCTTCAAACCAGCATCTCCTGCTTGGCAGCGGCTGAGCTTGCTCCCGAATAGCTCAGCAGCCGGTGATTTACTGGGCTTGGAGAACATGCCCCCAGGAGGGGAAGCTGGCTTGCACGTTGCAGAAAAGCCAGCTTGGGTGGGTCGCAGTTGAAAGGCGTGGCGGGTGAGGATGATTGCTAAGAAACTCCTTCTGCTTGCACCTTGCGCTGTGCTAGTTTCTGGAGCAACAAAAACAGACCTGGCAGTGTTTCCTCATCACCGTGTGGGGCGTTCTCCTCTAATCCGGTGTAATTGCCTGTCTAGGGTATGCTCTTCAGCAGGTGGTTTTAAGTTGGTCCCATTATGCTTCTATGAAAGTGGGGTGTGGTCCCATTTTATGGCCTAGCTGATGAGCACTCGAGACCATGGTTCCCCGTCCCGCTGCCCCACTGAGCACTGGCCAGGCCACTGCACACTTTCTCAGGCAAAGACGGCCTTATTTTTAGGTGAAGTAAGTGGAGGCACACAAAGCCCTGTCTTCATTGACTCTTCCTTCCCTGTTGTCCCTTCTGCTGTCCTGAGTCCATGCCTGGAAAGTAGGTAACTTTTGGGGCTTTTCTCTGTGTGTGCCAAATGCCCAGGAGGCCGCCTGTGTAATTCAGCTGGAAACTGCCCAACGTACAGACGTGTGGGGAGAAAAAGAATCCTTGACCTGTAAACACACTGGTGCTGGTTACTGCAGATGGTGGCTGGTGCTGGTCTTGGTGCTGTCTCCTGTGTGTGGCTGGGGACAGTGGGAGCTGGGCTGGGCGGTCCCAGGTGTGGGGCGTCCAGGCCAGTTACAAGAGATGATGCTTGTTTTCCTGAGAGCTCATCACCCCTTGTATCTTTTTTGTTTTTTTTTTTTTTTTTTTTGAGTTGGAGTCTTGCTCTGTAGCCCAGGCTGGAGTACAGTGGTGCGATCTCGGCTCACTGCAGCCTCCACCTCCCAGGTCCTGGTTCGAGCAATTCTCCTACCTCAGCCTCCCAAGTAGCTGGGATTACGGGCATGAGCCACCATGCCCAGCTAATTTTTGTATTTTTTAGTAGAGATGGGGTTTCACCATGTTGGCCAGTCTGGTCTTGAACTCCTGACCTGAGATCCGCCTGCCACGGCCTTCCAAAGTGCTGGGATTACAGGTGTGAGCCACCGCGCCCAGCTCACCACATTGATCTTAGTCTCCTATTCAGAATGCTGTGCTACACTTCGCAGAATTTAGTAAATAAAGAATGTTCATGTGTGAGAGCACTCTTGGCATTTCACAGTATCTTGGATCCTTTTTATTTAGTGAGAGAGACCAGGCGATGTGTTAGCCTGTTGCCAAGTGAGGCCAGGGGACACGGAGGATGGGGGATGGAGAGACCAGGGGACACGCTAGGCTGTCACTGAGAGACTGGGGGATGCGTTAGAGACTGGGGGACGCGTTAGAGACTGGGGGACGTGCCAGCCCATTGACGGAGAGAGATCAGGGGACCTGTTAGCCTGTTGTGGAGAGAGATCGGGATGGAGAGACCGGGGGACACACTAGGCCATCACCAAGAGAGACTGAGGGACATGCCAGCCTGTTGACAGAGAGAGACCACGGGATGGAGAGACTAGGGGACACGCTAGTCTGTCTCTGAGCAGGACTGGGGACAGGCTAGCCTGTTGCTGGGAAAGACCAGAGACCAGGGGACACGCTAGACTGTGTCCTAGAGAGACCAGGGGATGAGGAAACATGGTAGCCCATCACCAAGAGAGACCGGGAGACATGCTAGTCCGTCACCAGGGGAAACCAGGGGACAGAGAGGCCGGGGGATACACTAGCCCATTACCACGGGAGACCAGGGGATGAAGAGACCGGGGGACATGATAGCCTGTCTCTGAGCAGGACTGGGGACATGCTAGCCTGTCACCGGGGGAGACCAGGGGATGGAGAGACCACAGGACATGCTAGCCAGTTGCCAGGAGAGACTGGGGGACACGCTGGCCTGTTTCCAGGGGTGGTCAGCAGTTTCCCAGATCTTGGTCCTGCACCCTCCCGGCTGCACAGCTGCTCTTCAGGTTTGGGTTCTGGCCTTTCCCCCAGGCTTCTCACATCAGTCTCTGTGATGGTCTTCGTTGTTCATCCCCATGTCCCCCATCCCACTGCCAGTGGAACCTGGTCATGTGGCTGCAGCTGTAGGTGATACGGTGGTGCCCCTTGTCTACAGGATGAGATTTCAGCCGCTCACGGGCTTATTTGTCGTGGAACAACTTACTCCACAGCTGGTGACATCAGTGACAGCCACACTTTTACGTGGATCGATTCTCTGGCTTCGCAGGGTGGAGTGAAGGGGTGGATTGTTACTGCCCCTTGATGCCTGGGCCTCTGCTGAGAAGACCACATGGCAGCGCCTCGAGGGTCAGGGTGCAGCGGGCCCTCGGCGGAGGCTGGCTCTTCCTGCGGGCAGCCGGCGTCCTGGGGGGAATGTCCTGAGGGGTGCTATCCAGAGAGACCCTGACCGGGTGCCAGGCTTCTGACCTGGGACTGAAAGTCACTGGCATCGCTCCTGCCTGCCTCTGTGGTGGCAGTTGGAAGCCTGCCAAGGTGGGGGTGTGGGTAGGGGTGAGGGACCCTCCATGGTCCACCTGGCAAACTGTTCCCACGGAGCTGGTGAGCTGGCTGCAGTGACAGCTTCTCTGTGAAGGTTCTTGTCTTCTTGTCTCCTCCTTGCGCATTGGGTGGGCCTCAGGCCTCAGCCCAGCCCCAGGGAGTTTCAGTGTGTGCTCTGCCCTGTGACTTCCCCGAACCCTGCATCCCACCTGGGGAGCCTGCCTGTGCCCTGGGGTTTCTCTTCACAAGTGTTTGCTCTGTAAACCGATGACTTGGGGTTAAAACACGTACTAAGTTGGATACATTTGGATTGACGTGAAGTAATTTAACTTTCAATTTTGAATTTCACACAAGCTAAATCTAGGGAAGAGTCTTAAGTTAAATGAGAACTGGTTTTGGGCAAACAAGGATCATCTCCATTCACTTGACAGGGAACATGTTACTATCCATCTCCCCAAAGAGAAAGGTGACTAAGTCTCCAACCTTCCTGGTGAATGTGTTTGATGAACACTTGCATGTGATTCTCGGAGTGGCTCAGTGGGGTGGGTGCTGCTGCCGCTGCCCCGTTTTACAGATGCAGAGACCCTGCTCTGCCTCACAGGGAGAGTCAGTGTCTCCTTCCCATTTTGCTCATAGGTGTGGGATCTGCTCCACGGGGGTGAGGGGTGGTCTGTGTAGCTTCACTGCTTCTCTGATCAGCCCTTAGGAGAGCCCCTCAGCGGGCTCAGTGGAGAGAGTCCAAGTTCCCTCTTCTTTTTTTTTTGACAGTGTCACTCTGTCTCCCAGGCTGGAGTGCAGTGGCACGATCTCAGCTCACTTCAACCTTTCTGCCTCCTGGGTTCAAGCGATTCTCCTGTCTCAGCTTCCTGAGTAGCTGGGACTACGGGCACGTGCCACCACACCGGGCTAATTTTTTATTTTTAATAGAGGCAGGATTTCACCATGTTGGCCAGGCTGGTCTCGAACTCTGGACCTCAGGTGATCTGCCCGCCTTGGCCTCCCAGAGTGCTGGGATCACAGGCATGAGCCACAGTGCCTGGCCCCCTTTTCTTTGAAGAAGACATTTCTATTCTACACTTTTTTTATTTTTGAGATGTAGTCTTGCTCTGTTACCCAGG